GTGATTATGTGTTTAGACCTTGTAATATGACCACTCGTCTCCGTCACTCCGCGCTGCGTAAGGTATGTTTTATATAGGTATCAATGAAAATACTTATAATGTGAATTGTGATTTTGCACGAGTAGCAATGAAACTACTTGTGATACTCTGCACGAGTAGCAATGAAACTACTTGTGGTATTTTACATGAGTAGCAATGAAACTACTTATGAGGTTTTGCATTAGTAACAATGAGACTACTCATAAAGTGATATATATGTTGTTTTGGGGCTTAGGAAATCTATCCACCTCAGGTTATATGAACTCTAGTGTTTGACATTGAACTCTAGTGATATAGAGTTAAGTTCGAACTCTCGATATTCTTAGTTGTGAGTTTCTGTATATTATTATTGAGATAAGTGTTGTTATAGCATTCTCTCGCTATAAGATTCGTTCAGTGTTCTTGGAGTAGGACCATTCGTGACCCATCTCAAAAGAGAAAGGTTAAGTACTGAGTGAATTTCTAGTTTATGAGATCACTCTGGAAATTAGGACTTCAGTCGTCGAGGACCGGGAGTGTCATTTAGATGCCGCAAATTAGTTACTAATCGACCCCCATAGTTTAGGAGAATCTAATACGTATCACCGTCGTAACTCTTGAGAGTGGCTAGGCCTCGAGAGGGACGATAGTTGATAATTCTCATACGTTAGATCGAGCGTAAGTCCTGAAGACTGATGCATGGATGAAAGACGACGACGTCGTCCATAGGACGAGTGGATTGCTCTGACATCGCGTGAATATCCTGTGAGTTGGCTGCGAGGCACGCAGTTGTAAAAGGTATGAATTTATAGTTAATCATGATGTTGTGGCTCTATATGACTTGAGAAGTTAAGATTGATGTTATGAAAAGCATGCTTATATGATTGAACTTGACGATTATTGCACGACTGGGACTCTTTAAAACATGTTATGTGGTGATCGTATGAGTTCATGTGAATTTTTGTTAAAAATCATGTTAGGGCTGACTCTCTTATATTGTATATGCGCGTATATGATTTGTATATTGTGATTACATGTGACCCCTGATGCTACGTACATGAAATTATGTTTTTGTGCTAAAAATCGTGTGAGAACTTCTCGTTATAGCCTCTGTTTGTGCTTGGATTATCGTGGCCTAAAAGTTATTTTCTGGTTAAGAGTTTTTCATACATTTTGTAATGCTTTGAGTTAGGTTTCTGTGAGTTTTGAAATTTCATGATTCGGAGTTGAATTGAATTTATTATGAATTTTTGAAGTTGTAACTGCGAGCAGTTTTTGAAATTTCGGGCAAAATTGTGAATCATGATGTTGGGCTGTTTTTAACAATCTTAATGTGACTATGTGAAAATATGATCAACATGAAACTTGTAATACATGTTATAAACTTTCTCTAGGAGTTGAAATCATGTTAGTTGGGGTTCTGGTTGATTTTATATGAAATTTTAAAGATGGGGTTATGCCCAGAATTTTTGAAATAGTTGCAGTGTATATGACTGAAATGTATGTTCTGAAATTGGGTCTTTAACGTTATTATTCTTAAAAATGCTATTCTGGAAACTTGTTGCGTTCCTAGTATTGTTTCTGTAAGTTTTGAGTTTGTTTGGTTTAGAGTGTTATAACATGAGATATCGTTGTTTTAGTGAACTGCTGCAAATTTATAAATAGTTTCGTTGGCAGATTTCTTGACCTAAATATTTTAAAGTTATTTTTGGCTTAAGTGATCAACATAAAAGTTGTAGATAATTGAGTTAGATATCTTGGAGATTTTGAATTTCAATAATAAAATGTTTGTAGCTTCGGTTATTGTGCATACACTGAGACCCTGTCAAGCTGTATGTCTTCATTTATCCACTGCACCTATGTTTTGTATGTTTGCTGTATTATGTGCATTTCAATGATTTTATCTGCATGAGTGTTCTTCATGAAAGTGATTAAGACCTGAGTTAAGGATATTTTTCAACTGTTTTCATCATGATACGATATCTAGACTGAAAGCTACATGCATTTTAAATTCATCACGCATGCTGGAAATTAGTGCAAGTTCATATTTAGGTTTCCAAATCGAGTGGTGAATAGATTTTCGTCAATTTTCATGTATATGTGCCCTATGTGACTTAATCTGATTAGTGATAATGTTAGTTGGAAACACTTGCGAGAGAAGCTTTACGCTAGACCTCAAAGTGTGAAGGCTATAGGCTGTGTATGTGGATGAACTCGTTTAGGACTACCGGCACGATTAGCTGCTGGAGAAAAAGCTGTCGTGACGGCCGACATTGTTGGTCGGAAGAGTCAAACGAGCTAACCATTCTGTTGTTCGGCGTTGATCGCCGAGTTAGGATTGTTCCTGGCGGTGACGCCAATGCTCGATCCCTTTTGGAAAAATTGTTCTTGTCAACCCAAACCTTTGTGATTTTGAGTCTTGAGAGAAACCCTTTTTCCCATTTGAGTACCTAGGAATTGTGAAATTTGGAAATTGAAATTTCTGGTATGTTCCTCGAACCGAGTGCCGAACCTGACTGGGTGTAGCCACACGAAGTGGTGGCGAGCCTGCACGCCCGTGCTGAGAGACGTGAGGCCAACTGCAGTGGCCGATCATTGACTCGCACGAGAGCTGCTGCCGCCATCACCGAACGCCAAACTCCCCAGGTCAGTGTGTACGGCCAAACCTTGACCATGTAGCTGGTAT